TAACTGGTAAAGACAAGATTTGAACTCATCTGCCTGATTCTAAAAACTAAGGGGGAAATCCAATTCGACTGGGGAGGGTCCAGCAGCACAGCCTATCACCCTATCTTTGTTCAGATCTAGCCTTAGACAGCGTGAGACAGCACCCCATTCCCATGGAACTCGAGGGCAAATGATAACAATAAGGATTTCATATCCAGTAGTTTGTTAGGTCTCATTTATATAAAGTGTCAGCAGGTCAGCAGAAAACTCTGGAAAATATGAGTGGGTCCAGAGCTTTTTGCTGATTAGTAACTCAGTCTCTCAGGATATAGTGACCTTCCCATGAGAGGCCACATGGACATAAACTAAAGGCAGCTGAGCAATGAAAACTAACAAGACCCTGGAACTCAAGCAAGAATGATCCCTGCCATCCACCACCCAGTTGCCTCTTCACCAGCGTGGACACGATGGCAGGAGACCCAAGTTCTTGTCCAAGTTACTCCATCATGGATTCTCACTCATAAAAATTTATGACTCTATGCTGTCTTAAGTCCTTTAAAACTCAAATATGATAACACCAATATCTCAGCAGAATATCTATGTCTCCACTTCCTCTCTTCTAATAGGAGAATATTTCCATGGACACAAAGCAGAAATCCAATTTAAAAAAACATGCATGAAGCCAGGCGAAATTCTGCTTAAGACACTGATCTTATGCTCAGTAAATGAAAACTCAGAAAAAGTGGTCCTTCTCCCTCAGCAAATGGGAGGTAGCCTGATGTGTGTGTGTGTGTGTGTGCACGTGTGTGTGTGTGTAAATCAAATACAATCAAGTCTGGGATGTGTACAGTTTTTTTTAAGTCACTGTCATTTCATGGGGATGAGCCAACATTTAAAATAATTTGAATCTAGTGTTCTGAGAGAGTCTCAGGTCTTGGTGGAGGAGGTGGAAGGGGAGAGGAAAGAGGTACATGAAGCAAAGAAATAAGAATACTGCCAGGGAAAGGCAGGACGTTAGTTTTGTTCTTCCTTGCACCACATAAAATTAGGGACTCGCTTTCCCCTGATGACTTATCGAGCACTGAGTTGCAGAAGTAGAGGCGACAGCTCATTTCTCACTCAGCTTGTGACTGTACGTGGCATCTTATAGACACAAATCATCTACCCTGATCAAACACTCTAGCAGCAGGCCGTAATTCTCCTGTTTTGAGAGACAAGAAAGCAGGAGCTCAAACAGGTTGTATAACTTGAGAAAAGTCAGAGGACCAGTAAATTAAAGAGGATTAATTCAAACTCAGATCTGAATGCAGAGTCTGATCTTCCCACTCCCAGGGCGCGAAAATCCTTAACACAGGCTCCCCAGCTCCCCTGCAGTGTTCCTGGCACCAAGCATTTCCCATGGCAAAGGTCACCAGTTCTCACAGACACAGCACTCTGTGCAGCCAATGACCTTGATCAGACCTTCATTATCTACCTGCCACGCCCACCAGGCTTCAACATACAGGCAGGAAGGCTGGCTTTCAAGTGCATACAAAGCCATTCCTTGTCTAACCTGGGCTCTTCTGTGGCTTCTCCAGCCTAAAGGCAGCCATGAAACTGCTCAAAGCTTGTACATGAGCCACACTACCTCTCTCCATCTGTCTCCCCACCTATACAAGTTGGCTATGACCATTTTGAGAATCTTGGACACAAATTTTTAAAAACAAAAATGAAAGGATTCTGGAACAAGTACTTAATACTTACAATTTTAAATGGCAAGTTACAAAGTGAGTATTTACAAACCAAATATTCCTTTCTAAATTTCAGTTTTAAGCATTTAAAAATATAATAGCAAAAAATTCTCATTTACAAAATTGACAAAAACATAAACAATAATATGGAATAAATTAAAAAATAACGTCCATTTTCTAAATGGAGAAACTTCAGGACTGTACTGAGGGGTAAAGTAAGAGGTGTGAATGTAGAGACATCAACAAATTGCATGGAGGAAAGTAGTTTTGTAAAGATGCAAGTTCTCATTAGAATAATTCATAACTTACTAAAAAATCCCATGAGAACTCCAATCTGATTTTTTTTTTAACTTGAACAAAATATTTTGGAATTTTTCAGGAACAATAAAGTCATAATACTAGACAAGAAAATTTGGGATGGAAGAAAAGAATCAAAAAAATTCAGACTGCCTATTATTAAATAAATTTTTACAATATGTAAATATGATGCTGGATTAAGAAAGGCAGATTGACAGAAGGGAATCATGAGCTCAAAAAGAGACTCTAGTGTACAGAAGTATTTTGTTCAGGTGGGATTTCAAATCAAAGAGAAAAGTATGACTTCAATAATTGTCCTGGGACAATCAGAGAATCACCTGGAAAGAATAAATTCTATTCCTCTCATAAGGACCACAAGATAAATTACAGACAGTGATGTAAATATTAAAAAGTACTAATAACAGCAAATACAACACTTTGCTCTTATTAACTCAACTTACCCTTACATTAACAAGTACTATTATCATCTCCATCTTAGAAATTAAAAAAAACCTACAGAAGAGATTTATTCCAGTATAAGAAAATATTTTTAAGAA